CTTCCCTTACAGCTTAGTTCTTTCACATGGTCATGGAATTTTGTGGCTGCTTGCAAAGTGTGTGCACTCTACAGCTGTCTTTACTGGGAGGACCTGTAGAGTTCACAGCTTCACGGACTGGTTCTGGAATGACTGAAAGCAGGTGTTTTTGCTTAACTAGTGTGCCATTCAGTGCTGCACTCTTTTTCCCTGCAGTCCTTTGAGCACCTACTCCAGGGACTCCAGGGAGAGGTCTTCAGACATTGAGACTGACCATCGGGGTTGGGAAATGTGAGGCATGTGGGAGAAAGAAAAAAAAACATTTACCACCCACCGGGTTTTCTGTAATATTTCAGGAATTATTTGGACATCTATGTCCCATCTGATGGAAATTCCACTCCAGCACAGGGAATAATAACATATCTAAAGTTACATAATTATGATTCTAGTAAACAGCTAATTGGGAGTCTGTTCCACAGTGTATACCTTCCTCATGGTGTGAGTTTATTTCAGAATGTATGTATCTCCTCTGGTTTTCTTGATAGGTTTATGTATGTGTGTTTTGCTTGTGTATGTATGTCTATGCACCACATTGTTGCATTGCCTGCAGAAGCCAGAAGAAGGCATTGGTTCCCTTGGAACTGGAGTTACAGATGGTTCTATGCCTCCAAATGGATGCTGGGAATTGAACCTGGGTCCTCTGGAAGAGTAAATAGTGCACTAAACCACTGAGCCATCTCTCTAGCCCATTTGTAGAATATTTGTATCCTTCCAGAAGTCCCTTCTGCCCCTTCTCAATCCCGCTAACCAATCCAACCTCCTCCTCTTTTTGTTGGCTAGCTTACTTTTGCCTAATATGTGGCTTTATATAAAGACAATCAAGGGATATTCTCTTGTCACATCTTTCTGTGGGTGTAATATCTGTTATTCTTCTGTTATGTATGTAAGTAATTAATTCCTTTTTTGTTGGTGGGTAGCATTCTGTTACATGGATATACTACAGTTTGATTATTCTTCTGTTGATGGATGTTTGAATTATTTTCAATTTGGAGCTATTATGTATACAACTGCTTTCAACATTTGTTTGCAGATTTTTTTTTTTTGTTTGTGTGTGAAAACTACTGTTTTGGGTGGCATAAATACATAGTCTTCATTTTTTACAAATGAGAACACTGCTACAGAGGTTAAAGGACTTCTTTTAAAATGTTTTTCTTTAATGTTCATATATGCAAATGATGTATTTTGATTAAATCCACTCTTCATTCTCCCTTCTCCAATTCTTCCCCTGATCTTTTCCCTCCCAACTACATGTGCTCTCTTTTTTAAAGATGGCCATGGTGTGCATTTAGTGCTACCTGTTTGTACATATAGGTGTTTCCATCTACTGGAGCATGGGTAGCCTTTCAGGGTCTTCATCTTTGAAGAAAATTGACTTTGTCTTCCTCAGCAGCCACCATTTGCCAGATTGCTTCTCAGGGACTTCATGAGCCCCTCCTATTTCAATGCTGAGATTTTGGCTGGTTTGATTTTGTGTATTGATATGTGCTTCCAATTGCTGTGAGTTCATGTTTGCAACTACCTTGTATGAATTCTTAATGTCCTATAGCTAGATCCAGTGATTTGACTGAGTCCAATAATTTTTTTTATATTTTGAGAAGGAAAAATATGAGTGTGTGTGTGTGTGTGTGTGTGTGTATACATGCATGCATACGTACATATATACATATAATTCTGTGAGTTCAGCTTAAGGTCTCTATCAGCTGGGACTTAAAAATGTAGGCTTCATGAATGGAGGATATGGTTTTACAGTTAGAATGCTTGTTTAATATGTGTGAAACCATAGGTTTCTTGATGTGTTGTTTGGACCCAGTAGTCCTTAGAGTTCTTGCAGCTACATTCATCAGATATATTAGTTTGTAGTTTCCTTTCCCTTTTTCTTCATATGTTTGGTTTTGGCATCAGGGAAATGTGGTATCATAGACAGAGGTTGGAATAGTGTTCTTCCAGATTTTTAGAATTGTTTGATAATTTATAGTAGTTTTCTTTAAAGTTTTGTGAAATCCAGCAGTAAACCCATCTGGTCTTGGGCCTTTCTTTGTTGGTAGGCTTTTTAATTCACCCCACCACTCATTATTGATGTGTTCAGGTTTTCTGTATTCTTTCTTTTCCTTTTCTTTTTTTTTTTTTTTTTTTTTTTTGGTTTTCCGAGACAAGGTTTCTCTGTATTGCTTTGGAGCCTATCTTGGAACTAGCTCTGTAGTTTTCTGTGTTCTTATGATTCTGTCCAGGGGATTTTAAGTGTCCATAAATGTATTCAGTCTTGTAGGCTTTCTACGGTGTTCATAGTGGTGTCCAGTGGTCTGTAGGCTTTCTACGGTGTTCATAGTAGTGCCCAGTGGTCTTCTGTATTTACTGAGGAGTCTGCTGTAATGTTATTTCTGTTTTATTTGTGTTAGCTCTCTTTTTTCTATTAGTCTGAATATAAAAGATTTGCCAGTATTATCTATAGAAACCCAAGTCTTGCTGGCACACACTTGTACCCTAGCCCTTAGATAGTGGTGGTGGGTGGATCAGAAGCTCAAGGTCATCTGTGGCTACATGGATTTTGTATCCTGAAACTTTAAATAAAAGATTTATTTTTGTTTTATGCGTATAAGTGTCTGCCTGCATGTATGTGTGTGTATCATGTATGTATGTGTATCATGTATGTGACTGTGGAGGCCAGAAGGGGTGGTGTCATATACCCTAGAACAGGACTTACAGGGGACTGTGAAGTACCACATGAGTTCTGGGAACTGAATCTGGGTCCTTTGCAAGAGCAGTACACTGCCCTTACCTGATGAGCCAGGGCTCTAGATCCCTGAAATGTTTCTTAGGTTAATTAGATCAAGCAGGTGTTTTTGGTGGAATCTTGAGGATTTATATATAGACACTGCCCTGGTTATTTATTTTTTTCCCCTCAACTTGACACAAATCTATTCAGATCTGTCTAGAGCAGTGGTTCTCAACCTGTGGGTCATAACCCCTTTGACAAATCTCTATTTCCAAAAATATTTACATTAGGACTCATAACAGTAGCAGAATTACAGTTATGAAGTGGCAATGAAAATGATTGCATGGTTGGGAGTCACTGCAGCATGAGGAACTGTTTTAAAGGGTCTCAGCCTCTGGCTAGAGGAACCACTGGGCTGGAGGAACCTCAGTTGAGGAAACACCTGCATCATACTGCCTACAGGCAGGCCTGTGGGGCATTATCTTGATTAATGGTTGATGAGAGAGGGCCTAACACCAGGAGGTGGTGCTGCTGGGTGAAAGCAGGTGTAAGAAAGCAAGCCATTGAGGGGAAGCCAGTAGGCAGCAATCCTTCATGGCTTCTGCCTCAGTCTTGTTTCCAGGACCCTGCCAAGTTTCTTAGTCTAATCCAACATTTTTTCTCTTTTGGAACACTAGCTTTTCAAAGCATTGGTCTTATCTGTTTTTTAGACTATTTTTTCATTAAGTTCTTTTTTTGTTGTTTATTTTATTTTATTTTATATAACAAAGTCCAATTAAATGAAAACAAACATTTATACACAATATTTGGGAATTTGGGCGTCCGTTCTTTCCAAACTACTTCCTGCTAGTCAGGGGCGCTGTCTCATTAAGTTCTATTTGGATTTTTAATTTCTTTTTTGATATCTTTGAGTTGATCTTTTTCTAGACTGTTGGGTTGCTTAGTTAGGTTATTTCTTTTTTATTAATTAGTCATTCATTGTTTTGTTTTAAAACTTCCTTTTAGAACTGCTTGTACCATGTTCATATGTGTTTACCACCTTAGAGGCTGTGGGACCTGGAGGAATGGAGGCAATAAGTGATGCAGACTAAAGTGTCATGCAGTAGCCACCTTTATTCAGAGTATGAGAGGATGTATGCTCTGTGGGTTAAAAGGAGTCACATGAGTAAAGTGCATAATCACAGGGGCAAGCCACATGTGATGGGCAAGCCACACATGGCAAAATCATGTTTTCCATAGAGACCTATAAACAAATAATAATAGCCAGTTATAATGAATATTCTGAAGTAACTCACTCCTATCTGCTACACTTGGGAGGGTATAGCAGAACAGTTCCGTTTCTGAAGCATTTCTCACAAGCATTTAGAATGCTCCTCACACAAATCCATTCTTGGATTGTGTTCTGACACAATCTTTGCTATTTATAGCTCCATTTTAGTTTGTCTTAAGGAGAGGTTACATATTATTTTCTGTGTTAAGTTGGGGCTTATTAGTGAGTTAAGTTAGATAACAACATTATTTGAAAATGAAATAGAATAGAGAAGGCAAGAGTATATTTTTTCACAGTGTTCATGAAGTATTCCTTTAGTCAAATATTATGAATTGGACCAAGATATGAAATGTGTGGCTAGAAAGATGGCTCAGCAATTAAGAATTCTTGTTGCTCTTGCACTGGACCCAGGTCTGGTTCCTTGTACCCACAGGGTGGCTCATGATCCTCTGTAATTCCAGTTCCAGGGGATTCTGATGCCCTTTTCTGCCTTTACAGGTACAAATACTATGTACATGTGAATTACATTGCATGTAGGCAAGCACTCATGCACATTGAAGAAAAATAAACCCATTCATCCAAGCATATAAAAATATGTGTGTGTTTGTGTAAAGAGTTATACTAAAAAGAAGCTTGATGCCTTTGGATACTATGATAGTCCTGTAATTAGTGTTTTTTATTTCCCATTTTGTTTTTATATTTTGGAGTATTAAGGTAGTATTCAGTGTGGAATATTTAAAGCCTGCTGTATCCTATGTATTCTAACAGACAATAAAAGGTGATTTTATTAATTTTTTATATTTGATGTAATGAGGAACATGGAGGGTGAGATTTTTATCTTTTAATGATTACATATGATTTTATGATAACACTGTGACTAAAGATATATATGTACATATATATGTATATACATACATATGTATTTTATAATTGCAGGAATTATAACCTATGGGATTATGTGGTAAATAACCTTGCTACGAAGAAAATTTAAAAATGATGGTAAGTACAGCTATTTTTTATCATATTTGTTTGGTTTTTTTAAATCAGTGTCACATGTGCCATGGTGTTTTGTGGGAAGATCAGAGAACAGATTTCAGGATTTGATTCTCTCCTTCTACCATATGGGTCCCAGGGATCAAACTTGTGTCATCAGGCTTGGCATCAAGTACCTTTACCCACTGAGCTGTCTCCCTGGCCACTGTGATCAAGCTGTTTTTAAACTGACTTTAGGTTTTCACTTGTTCATTGTTTGCTTCTTTTTTTCCTACTTCCTGCCATCTATTTTCATAGATGCTTTCTTTAAGCCTCAGTGTTATTGTTTCAGGCACTGCTGGTGCCTCTGTCTGAAACTTGTGGAATGTGGGATAGGAAAACAGATGAGGACCAGCCTCTCTTGTTACAAGTAAATGCAAGCTAACTTCTTGGGCTGCCTTAATCCAGGATGGGCACCGATGTAGGGGACCTAAGAACAGATGCAAACATGCTCTCTTCTCATTCCTCACACTTCTACTCAGTGTTTCCATGCACTACTGTATATCTGACAGTACTCAAATGGAGGGTTTAGGAAGAGGGGATGTAGTCTTGGGCTCAGGAAGAGGGAATGTAGTTTTAGGCTCAGGAAGAAGGGATGTAGTTTTGGGCTTAGAAAGAGGGTGTAGTCTTGGCCATAGTCCCTCCTTTTGGAGGTTTGGGGATAGGAGAAAGTCTCTGTAGTATGTAGACTGTGGTGAGTATTTTGAGTATTTGATTTCTTAGAATATATTGGATAAAGGCTCAACATAACTTAATGCTGATGTTGATTGCTTTCATTTGAACCATTATTTGAACAAGTCTGTGTAAAATCTCTATGTAGCACTAGGTGGCACACTATGACTTTTGAGTTGAAAATTGTTGCAATCTGTAGAAAAGAATCTGAGTAGGAATGCTGTTGAAATACACATCTATAAAGTGATTGCGTATCTCATACTCATGTATTGTATTTCAAACCCCAGTGCTTATACTAAAATGATTAAAAGCATTATGTAATTGACATGTTTATAAGAATTAATTGCTAAAAATGATCAGATGTTGAGTTTGTACTGAGAGGAGCACATTCAGCATGTTATAGGAAATACATTCTGTAATATAAAATGAAAACTGTTCCAGCCACATATATGATAAACAGTAATATTTTTATATGTTAACTGTTAGAATAAAGAATAAAAACAGTCTTCAAGATGGTGGCCTTTTCTCTATGTATCTGTGTATTAAATACAAAAGAACTATGTTGGTGGTGGTGATGTTCATAGGAGAAATGAGCACTCAGTCTGGTTTCAGATTTAGTATTACTATATCCTTGGGACCATGAGGTCATCTGCTTTGGTTCTTGGAAGCTCATTACTTTATGATGACTCAAGTTAGACATGACACGGTAGTAGGGAACTTTATGGCATGGTGTCTATACCTGTAAGATTTTCTACAGGGGAATGAAGAAATTATCTGAAAGAGCTAAAAGTAAAACACCTGTTTAAACTCTCTCATTTGGCCTGGAGTCAATAGTGCTGCTTTTGTTTGGGTAATCTAAGTGACAGCACTAAGTTCAGACAAATGGAAGAGGTTTTCTATATCATTAGGAAGTGTGAGAGTAAACAGAGAATAGACTGGAGAGTTTTGCAAATCTAGAGAGCATAGTATAACATAGTCCCTGTGAAAGCTTTAATTAGGTAGATGATTCTGAGAATTTCAGGGCAAGGCCAGAAGCATGAAGGGGTAAACATAGACATTAAGTACAAAGTTCTGGAGAGAAGATATAAATTAGTCTCTGATCAGATTATTCTAATAGGTGGGATCATTTTTTTTTTTTTTTTTAGTAGCTTGGATTTTTTAGTAGTAGTTCATTCATTCTTGTACTGAAACTTTATTTTTGTCACTCATGGATTTAGTAGGTATGTTTAATCCCATTCCCCATATAACAAGTTTTCTATCACATTCTTCCCATGCGTTTAAAAAAATATGATCTGACATTTAAAAAATCTCATTTTTCTTTTTTTGTTTTTGCTTAAGGTAAAAGTCAGAGGACTTTGTTTTTCTTCTTCACATTTTTCTCTATTTTTAGTCTTATGTCTAGTCTCTCATTTGCCATTCTCTTTTAAACTTTCTTTTGTTGGGATTTTTGATTGTTATTCTACCCGTAGTCTTGTTGGCATGGAAGATGTGGGGCTGGCATAGGTCAGAGTGGTGGTTCTGCTTGGTGTAGCTGTTCAAGCTTTAGACTGTATTTGTAATTTTATTTTAGAGTTTTTAAACCTTGAGACAGACTTGGTGTCTGATGAGCCACATTCCAGGTCTCAGATTGGTGTGTGTGTGCATGATGTGGAGGCCAGAAGCTGACAGTGGGTGTCTCCCTCCATCTCATTAAAGCCACATTGTAATTATTGTGCATGTCTGGGGATGTGCATGCTTGTACACGTGTTTGGGTACATGTGTCAGTGTGTGCTGGTGTGGGAGGGTGGGATCAGAAGTCAACCTTTGGTGTGTCATGTTCTTGCTTTCCACCCTGTTTTTGAGATACAGTTTTTTTTTTTTTTTTACTTAATCTGGAGCTCACTCATGGCTAGGAGGTCTTGGGATCTTCCTGTTTCTGCTTCCTGTGCTGGAATTCTGGCGCAAGTTGGCATGCCTAGCTTTTAACCTGGGTTCTGGTGATCAGAACTGAGGTCCTTATGTTTATAGATTTAGATGGCATGTTTATTCCCTTTACCCCACATAACCAAAACTTTCTTTCTATAGGATTCTTCCCATGAGCTTAAAAATATGATATGATCTGTCTTAAAAACTGTTGCTGCTTTTTCTTGGTGTCAGTAAGCTCTTTATACATTAAGGCACCACCTGAGCCTTTTCCCCTTTTACTTTTAAGTCATTATATATTTATTTGTATGTGTACACATGTGTGCATGCAAGTGCCACAGTGCTCAAGTGTGGAGGTCAGAGGACTATGTAGTATGAGTTCTAATTGGTCTTAATAAAAGCCCAGAGTCAGATAGCTTTGTAAATGCAGAAAGATCAGAGAGACAAAGGAGCAAGCCACAGCCACACTTTACCTCTCCAATTTCTCAGCCGAAAAGAGACCCAGCTCCTGTTTCCTCCACCTTATATTCCTTTCTCCACCTAGCCATACAGACCTCTATACCTCTATGGTTAACTAATGGCTGGCTCCGTCCTCTGATCATCAGGCAAACTTTGTTGAGTACAAACATGTTATCACCATAGGACAACTTATGGTAATAGGTTCTATAAGTGGTGGGGATTGTATTCAAGTCTTCACACTTGTTGACCAGAGTCTTTATGACTGAGCCATATGCTTACTCCTATCTTATCTTTCTACACAGAGTCTCTCACTGAACCTGTAACTTCCTATTTTGACTAAACTGGCTGGCCTGTCTCTGCACTTCCTGTACTGGAATTACAGCTGTGTTCCATGGCACTCAGTTTTTACATGGATCTTGGAGTCCTGAACTCATTTCCTCATGCTTGTACAACAAGTATTTTATCCATTGAACCACTCTCAAGCCACTCAAATTAGTTTTAAAGTATTTGTATTTGAAGTATGGAGAATAATGGCTTTATAAAATGGTGATTGGTAACTAATAGTCTCATAATCATTACCATTTCAATATTTCTAGGCTTCCTTCCAACGTTCCAACAGTCATGACAAAGTGAGGAGGATTGTTGCTGAGGAGGGTCGTACAGCAAGAAACCTGATAGCTTGGAATGTTCCACTAGAAAGCAAAGATGATGATGGTATGTGTGTCTTTTAAAGGTTGTCTTTCTCTTTAATGTAAATTGGAGGACAAGTGGTGTGCTGGAAGTGTCAGTGGCATGGAGGACTGGAGGCAGGGAGATTGCTTGATCTTAGGAGCTCAAGGCTAGCCTTGACAGTATAACAAGGCCCTGTCTAAGCAAATGATACAAAGAAAAACGTGTAAGGGTATATTTAGTTCTGGAGAGTAATTAGATTTAAAGTGAATGTACACAGCAAATTGACATAGAAAATAAAATTGATTTTGTAAACAATAGTTAAAATTACCATTCATTTGCTGTTTTAAAAATAATGAAATTATTAAGGTATTACTCTGGTAGTTGAAATGCTGATTTATTGAATTCATAATTTTGTCTGTTTTTAAGTTGACCTTCTAATATAAAGAATAGCTTTTCTTTCTCCCTTTTATTTTAAACTATATATGTATTCATAAATTTAAATTTGTGTAGATTCTTGACGTCTTACTTAATGACACTCTTTTGATGTTCATATTATCCTAGATTTGAGTAAGGAGATTCTTGGTTCTCTTGTTTCCTTTAGGCATCCTTTGCTCTTTCTTTGAGAACAGTCTTTTATGATAGGCTGTTTCAAGCTAAGAATGCACATAGGCTGTGGGTAATATCTTAGTTGTAGAATGCTTATGCTAAAAAAAAAAAAAAAAAAAAAAAAAAAAAAAAAATCCAGGGCTGGAGATTCCTCTCTGAGAGAGCCATGGAATAAAGCAGTCTCAGGGACTTAATGTAGATTTAAACTTCACCAGTAGTTCATATTCATTTATGATGAATAAAATTATACTGTTCTATGGTTTCTGGATGGAATTAGGTACTAGAAATGCCTGAATGCGTTGTGCTGTTCAGTTGTGTAATATGTTATCTCTTTTTATTTATGTGTCTGTTTCCTTTTTCATGCTTTGAAGGAAAACATAAAGGTCAAACTGGTGGAAAATCTAAGAGGACAATTCAAAGCACTCACAAAATCTCTAAACAGGTACAGCTTACACACCTTTTAATAATTTGTTTTCACTCATTTCCTGAGTATATTATCCATTATATGAATTTAAGTATTTGAATATTGTATATCTAACTTACATAAAAATATAGTGTAACACGTTTTAATTTAAAAGTGTGAATACTGTGTTTACTATTTACCTAGTACTTTATAAATAGGTACTTTTTGTTGTTCTCATAGTAACCCTTTGCTTTAGGTCTTATTTTCTTCACTTACCAAAGTGAAGCTATGAACTGTGCCCTGGGGGAGATGACCCATTGGCTGTGCAAGCATGAGGACCTGTATTGAAGTCTTCATTGTCCATATTAAAAAAAAAAAGCCAGGTGAGGCAGCATGTGCCTGTTACTCCAGTTTTGAGGGACAGATAGAAGTGGATCCTAGGAGTTCTCAGGGTGTCCAGCTAGCCTGCCTAGACAAAACAGCAGTCTTTGAGTTTACTGTGATGCCTTGCCTTAAAAGGAATAAGGCAAGTAGTAGTAGTAAGTGAAGGTACCTGTGCTCCTCTTGTGGCCTTCACCTGTGTGTACCTGGCAGTGAACACTGACACACGTGTGCACCCTCCAATAGTATCACAAGAAAGTGAAGACAGACGGATGCTCAGAGAGCTCTATAACTTCCCAGTGAATGTCAGCCAGCAGTTTTCAGTTTATAACCTTAACCTTTCTGCCGCCCATTCCTTATTTGTGAATTTATGATATTCTTTGTGTAAGTAATGACACTTTTCATTTGTACAAGTCACAATTTAGTAGCTTTAAAAGTTTCCAAATAGATTCACTAGAGCTGTATAGAATCTACCTCTTACTTGAAAAATGTTCAAGATAGTTACAATGAGCTTTTTATAGTTTTTCCTTTTTATATTTGTTATTTTAACTGGATATTACTAGACATATCATGTTTATATAAAACAAAAACTTTATATGAGGAAAATGGAGTTTAAATCATGCTATCATTGTGAGTTCACAATGAATGCACCTTACAGAAGCATCAATGACAACATTTCTTTTTAGATATGAATAAAAAATATTTTAAAAACAAGATAAATATCTAAAGATAGAAAGAAAACCAAACTTTCTATTTAGAATAAGTGGAGTTGAGGGACACAAACTAAATGGTCAAAGCGTCTAGAAAATGAGTTCCAGTGGGATAAGGAGCCTGGATGTCAGTTGTGGTGGGAAACAAATTCAGTGTCTGATTGAAAACTTAGGCCTGTACTGGACCATGTAATATTAGAATGAAAAAGACATACCCTGTTGGGGTTGTGGCTGATGATAGCAGATATCTGAAGGCAGTGAAAACTGCTTTCTGGAGTAAACTTCTGATTGAAGACTCAGTGTGTCATACTCCTTAGGGGAAAGTGTAGGCTCCAGGAGAAGATCCTAGGAAGTAGAACTGTAATGGGCCAGATTGATGGCATCCAAAGGTGAGCAAAGTAAGAAAGTGAAAGACATGAAACTCAAAATCAGTTTGCCAAATATATCAAAACATATGAAGAAAACGCCATACCATACAGTAGATACTTTATGCAAATGAGAATTTCCTTCTTAGGTAATGAAAAGTAACATTCTATTCTAAAGAGAACTGTCAAATAAATGAGTTTAAGTTCCTTATGAGAAAGAATAGCTATGCAGGAAATTTGGGAAATTATGAAATAAAGAAATTAACTATTAATTTAAAATATTTATAGACGTGTCAGTGAAAATTCGAAACATTGCAATTGATAGACTAAATGGCATATTGGAAGGAGATTAGTGAAAGAACCTATGAACTGGAGGGTGCCCTGAGGAACCTTTAGACTGAAGATGTGTGTAAAAGGAGATTTTTCTCCGTTTACTCCATCTCACTGGTCCGATGTTTCTCCCACCCATCAGTTCCCACAGCCACTTGTGAAATAAAAACTCAGAGGCTAATATTAAATATTTTGTTTGGGCAATGGCTCAGGCTTCTTCCTGGCTAGTTCTCTCTTAATTATTAACCCATCACTATTAATTTGTGTATCTCCATGTGGCTTTGTCTTACTGGAGAGTGCTTGGGTGGCCTATCTTCCCAGTTGCTACGTGGCATCTGTCCTTTGTTGTCCTTTCCCCTGTCTCTTTGTTCAGAAATCCCACTTAGCTAAATCCTGCCCATCCATTGGTTAACACAGCTTTATTCATCAACGAATAAAAGCAATGCATATTTGCAGCATACAGAAGGACCTCCACACATCAGATGTGGGAAAATCAAACATGGAATTTCTAGTGCATGTCTTCTAAGAAATCCAAAAGTTGAAAATAAATGGTGGTTGGAAGTAGTTTTTCAGTTGCTGAGTTCTCAGGAGTTTGGAACATAAACCAGAGATATGCAGCCTAAATAAAAGTAGCTTTACACTTAGATCAGCTCTACAGTCTTTAGAACAGCCAGGCAAAAGAAAGTCTTTAAACTTACCAAAAAGTAACATCACATAAGTTACAGGTTACCAGCAGTCTTTGTAGCCACAAAAAGACAAAGGAGCTGTCTCTCAGAGTTATAAGGAAGCAAACCCACAAAGTTTTTAAGCTCAAGTTCTGTGCTTAGTCAAATGATAATTCCATTACAGAAGTGAAGTAAAATCAGTTTTAGATATGCAGAGACTAAATGTTAACCATTGTTTTAATTTCTTGTGCCCACAAAGTGGGTAATTAAAAAGCAGTAGCCATTTATCTATCTAGTATCTAGTTCTGATTTCTTAAAGCTGAGAAATCCAAGATCTTGGGCCCAGTCTTGTGAGAATCTTCCTGCTCTCTCAGCCTGTCACAAAGTATCTTGTCAGTATCATGGGAATGGGTTTATTATCCCATGAATAGTATACTTTGAAAAAATGAGATCAGCTGGGTTGGCAGGATGATTCTGGGTAAAAGTGCTTGCTAACAAGCCTGATGATTTGACTTTGAGCTTGGGAACCCACACGATGGAAGGAGAAAACGGACTTCTACTAATTGTCCTCTGCCCCCACACTTGCTTTGTGGCATGTGTGCATATTGGGTATGCACACGGACTCCTCCTCTTAGTAGCCTTTAACTGCCAATGGCTCCTCAGATATAGTAGGGCTTCAGGATTTCCTTCCCTCTCCATGCTGGGATTTTTAGTACAAAAACCTGCCTCTTGTTTAGGGCAGATATTTATTTAATGAATTCAAGTGTGATATAAGCCAAAAAAAAAAAAAAAAAGGTGTACTTTATAAAAGAAGAAATCTAGCTGGGCAATGGTGGCACCCGCCTTTAATCCCAGCACTCGGGAGGCAGAGGCATGTGCATATTTGTGAGTTTGAGGCCAGCCTGGTCAACAAAGCAAGTTCCAGGACAAGCTCCAAAGTTATACAGATAACCCTGTCTCAAATAAACCTAAATAAATAAGTAAATAAAAAGTATAATTCCTAGAGCCTTTTCCTTACCTTTCTAAATGTTTCATTTATTTCTTCAGAGTACAGACTGTAAAATAACATCCACAGCTGGAGAGAAACATTTTGATAAAAGTCCCACAAAAGCAAGGCACCCACGGAAAATTGACCTAAGAGCTCGCTACTGGGCATTTCTTTTTGATAATCTTCGCCGTGCAGTAGATGAAATCTATGTGACTTGTGAATCGGATCAGAGTGTGGTGGAATGTAAGGTAAGGTATGCTTTGGTCATTCATCATTTTTAGTTTTGATTGTATACTCTTTACTTCATTACCTGTCATGAGAATTGTTCTTTTGACCTTTACACTAAGATTAACATGTGCTTAGGCTTTCTTGATTTTCAAGTTTGTAAAAATTTTAATGTTTTGTTCATGTTATATAACATATGTCCTCTCATGTTTTGTGAAAGACTTAGTGGAAAGCTGTCTTAACTCATAGTCCTAGGAAGGAATCAGATGGTATCTCTCTCTCTCTCTCTCTCTCTCTCTCTCTCTCTCACACACACACACACACACACACACACACACACACACACACACGCATGCACGCACGCACGCACGCACGCACGCGCGCGCACACACACACACACAGAGCACACTTGAGAAAATACAGAAACACGACTTCTCTGTTTTCTTTGGTTACTGTAAGTGGTTTTGGTGAGATTTTTCATGTTTGTTTGTTTGTTTGTTTATTTATTTGGTGTTTTATGCTTTAGTTGGAAATTGCTCCCTTTCTGCTGTGTTTCTAATTCATTCTGGTTAGAGAAAAGAGATTGATTGCTAACCATAAACAATCCTGGGTGGGATTGCGATGTCATTGTAAGGTGTTTATTGATTTTTGGTAACCTTATGATTGTAAGAAAACTTCAAACAGTTATGTAGCATAGGCTGTTCTGGAAACTGCTGGCCTTTTAGTAAATGCAAACTATATACTATATTAATTTCTATTTAGTAAAATATTAAGAAAATCAATGGTACATTTTCATATAACTGTTAAAGAGATAACAGAATTTATATTTTAAAAATAACAGTGGTTTTAATGGTGATCATCATTTATTATTTAGCCTTTGCAGTACATGAAAAGTCAAAGAAAAGTTACAGGTTGAGACAGCATTGTGGCTCCTTGTTAATTGCAAACAGCCAAGATAAGTTTTATACTAGCTTGAAAATATGGTTTATGAGCCAGGCGGTGGTGGCTCACACTTTTAATCCCAGCACTGGGGAGGCAGAGGCAGGCGGATCTCTGTGAGTTCAAGCCAAGCCTGGTCTACAGAGTGAGTTCCAGGACAGCTAGAGCTGTTACAGAGAGACCCTGTCTTGAAAAAAACAAAACAAAAATCAGAAAGAAAAGAAAATATGGTTCATGAAATATATTCTAAAATCAACAATAGTGGAACTATTCAAGTGTGTAGTGTGGTGGTTACAATTAACATGGTTATCATTGTATAAACTTTGTATGTTTTAAGAAGACTACTTAATTTTTAAAAGTTAAATTTAGTATGTGTATATGTTCCACATCATGTGTGTAAGTCAGAGGATTACTGTTAGAGTTGATTTCTTCCTTTTACTGTAGGGGTCTGGGCATCAATGTCAGGCTGTTAGGAGAGATAGCAAGTGCCTTAAGTTGCTCACCCATCTTGCTAGCCCAAGAAAAAAGGTTTTTAATGAAAATCATATCATTTGAATAAACTGAGTCAGCAGGTTGTGGTAGAAAACATTACTGTGTTTGGTTTGGGGTTCAGCTTCCTTTACAAGATGAGTACATTAGTCTAAAGTGTATGAGCTAGAAAGTGAGTTTATGAACCTAAAAGTGGGTATAGGAGCCTGCATAATTTTCAGGTCATTCCTAGAGCTCTTTGATTTTTGTGATTTAAAAGAACAAATGTCTTATTGAAGAAATTAGATTTGTTTGTGAAATGCATTCTGTAGAGGAATGAAATTGGCTGGTTGCAGACACAGCTCCTGTGGTAACTGAAACATCGGCATCTAGTATGAACCTGTGTTTGAGGGACACTCATTTGTGTAAGGAACTGTGGCTTTTATTTCTGGTTCTGTCACTCATTTAACCAAAGTTTTGTGCAACTTTAATAGTTATAAGGATTTGTTATGTAAGTTGTAAGTTAAGACTGAAGGAGGGCAGGGGCTGGAGAGATGGCTCAGTGGTTATGAGCATCAACTATTCTTCAGAGGACCCAGGTGTAGTTCCCAGCAGCCACATGGCAGCTCATAACTGTCTATAACTCCAATTCCAGGGGACCTGACACCCTCACACATGCAGGAAAAATACTAAACTCATTAAGAAAAAAGAGTTGTAAAGGAGTTTGAGAAAATTAGAATGATGATTGTGCTGTGACTTGATGGTTAAAGACTCATGCTAATAAAATCTGGTAACTTCAATTATTTTCATTTTTTAGTCTACTCTTCTGCCTATAGGACTTCTAAAATAATGTAAATATATGCAGTTTGGCCATTAGTATAAGTATATGCTGTGTTATAATTTTTATTTTTCCCCTCTTTTATCATTATCAAAGCTCTGTGATTTAATTTTGCATTTGGTTAGTATATTTGTGAGACACAAAACTCAGAGATTTCCCTGGTGTTTTGTTTTAAATTATTTTTATGTTTGTGGATGTTTTATCTTCATGTATGTAGGTGCTTTGTGCCTACAGATGACAGAAAAAGGCATCTGATCCTCAGGGGCTGGTGTTTGAGACAGTTGTGAGCTGCCATGTAGGTGCTGGGAATTGAACCCCAGTTCTCCCAGTTCTCTGGGAGAACAGTCAGTGCTCCCAACTGCAGAGAAATTGCTAGCCCCCACCCTCTTATTTTTTCAGGTGATTTAAACTGTGTTTTGTTAAATCACTGACGGCTTTATTTCCACAGTGATTTTTGTTCCTTAACTGAGTAATCACAGTTCAGTTTGATGTCTGTATTTAAGGTGCTGTTAATAACACTGGTATTACATAATTCACATAAGAAGTGTAATGCAGTAGTGAAAGATATTTTTATTTTACTCAGGACTGCTGACCTGTTTTTTTCTAGTCAGAAGGTATACTTATTGTGGTATCAACCATTTTATTACATGATTTTCTAAGCATTGACATTCCTGGAAAACCACACTCCAACCATCACTCCTCCATTCTCTTGCTCTCTTACAATGTAGGCTAATAGATGGGTTAAAGAGATTTGTTTCTTTTGGCATTTATGTAGTCAGTATACTCGCTGATGTTTCCCTCCCACTTCTCTCAATATACCTACCTGTTCTTTTCCCAGATTAAAGACTTTTAGTTTTGTTTTGTGACTTAACTTAGTTAAACCAGGGCCATCTGGATAATCATTGGCTTGGGACTATACCATGTCAATTTAGCTCTACAACAGAATTAAATCCTGCTTAGGACCTATGACCTTTCCTGCCATGGGGCTTTTTAAGTGTGTTTACAGTACCATGCATGAATTTCCACCTGTGGATTGGGCCTCAGATCCAATCAGTGAGCAGTTAGCTACCCCTATAACAGTCACACCGCAGTTGCATAAGTGGGTGCATCCTGCCTGTCAGGTTTGTAGTTTGTGGTGTTAACACCTGAGTAAGCCCACTGATGCCTCTTTCCCCATAGCAACTTATACAGTACCTTCTAGCACTATGAAAGCTAGCCATCCATGAGGGTTGATCATCCAGCTCAGCTCCAGCTTGAGGTAACCAAAATGTGTGATGTCTTTAGATGAAAAAGTTACCATCTTATCTAGTTCTGGTAATTGAATGTTGCTGAAAAAAAAAAAAAGTGTCATTCTAGTGCTCATATTCAGGATTTCAGTGAGTAGTTATGGGGAAAGCTACAATTATTTTATGTTTGTATCTCAATGAGTTTATGTTTCTTAATTCAGTAGGTTAAGAAGAGTTCAAACTGTAGTGTGAGTTAGTGGCAGCAGTGCCAGAGGCCTATATTCCAGTTACTCAACAAGCTGAGTCAGAGGCTACAGAGTGAGTTAAGGGCTAGCCTTGGCAGATTAGTGAGCCCAAGAACTTTTGTTGTTTTTTTCCATCATATTTTTATTATTTGGACATTTCATATCATGAACCCCGAGCAAATTCATTTAACAGGCCTCCCAGTCCCACCCTTCAACCATTATGAGCCCTCCCCACTAGAAAAGATGAAAAAGAAGTGCAATTTCTATTGCTCATCTACTCAATGGAGCATGGTCAAACTCCAGGTGGCCAGCCCCTTATAGAAAATCAGTCCTTCCTCGCCTGCACTTCTGCCAGAAGCCATTAATTGTGGAGATCTACACTTCAGCATCTTTATCACAGTTTTTAAGGGCTCTCTTAAATAGTTTCCTGTCTGGACTGTTTCTTTTTTCCCCGGGGTGGGACAGGGTGGGCGGTTGTCACAGAAGCCTTCAATATCATTCTCAGTTATGAGGCTGCAGTTACCAATACCAGTGCAAAAGAAGCTTTCTTGCCCACCGATGCTGGCAGCAGCATGGACCACTGACACCAACATGGCAATCTTTTGAGGAGACTTAATCCAGGAAATGAACCATCCTTTATCTCGGATATCTTGCTGTGCAGGGTAATCATGCAGTAAGGCAGCCTGTTTGGGGACATGACCTTTGAAAGCCATTGCGTTCCCACACCTGTCTTCTAGTTGCATACTGCTCCATTCCACCATCTGCCATCTTATTCATCTCTCTATCGAACATTTATTAAAGTGGTGTTGCAGTTTGCTGTGTGTCACATGGTGTATTATTTTTCCCAAACAGCTTTACATGCAGATACTTACTATAGCTAGTCATTGATCTGGTTTAAGTTTCTGAAGCACCATAAATACTGCAACATCGCCGAGACTCCTATTATTGGGTGATCATGTGACTGGGCAGCATGTCCAGGGGCAGGCTCCGCTTGAGCACCAGGCTGTGTTACACCATCCTGCCCTGAATGCTGATCACTCCACTGGCTCCCCAGGCACAATTGTGCTTGTAGCCCATGGGTGGCTCCATGCCATGGGTCTGACCTGCAGGTTGAGCAATGGCACAGACCTAGTGGGCAGTAAAGGGTTAAAGTGGCTTTGTGTGAGCCTCCTGGCTGCCTGAGGACCTGCACTACTCATCAAGGACATGCTTCTTTGTCACCTCAGCTACTCTCTGCTGTCTCTACTTCTACTTCTCTCAGTTTTGATACTCTCCATTGCATATGTGGCAGCTCTACCGCTATCTTT